CCGAGTCGCTTGGAAGCTACGCCCCCAAATACGCCCGCTGGCGCTCTGGGTTCGGGTGCGCGTTAGCTAAGCTCGCTCGGGGGTGTGGGGTGGAAAGCGAGGGCAGAGGTTCGCGGTTCCCCGAGGCTGGTGCTATTTAGGCGCGTCAGAGAGGATCTCAGGGGATGTCTGTCTAGGCGCTCTAGGTCAGTTTTTCTGTGGCAGGACCCAGCTGGTGGGGAGACGGCGGATTGACTTCCAGCACCCGAGCAATCGAAACTCCAGATAACACTTCCAAAGAATCCCGACCGCCAACTCCGGCGACTCCTGCCCAACCTGCAGCCCCGACGTGCTAAATGCACCCAGGCAGGATGACCCGAGGTCGCCTCCTCCCGGGAAGGCAGCGCTGCGCCTAGAATGTGGCTTGAGGATGTGTCGAGCCGGAAGCCGGACAAGAGGACTCTCAGGACCTTCGCAACCCCACACCAGGACCCTGTACTCTCTAAAAGGTTCTTCTACGTAACAAGAAGGTCACTTTGCGGCCAGATTGTTCGGCTCGCTTTTGGATGCAATGTGGGACTACCTTTACTTGGGGGCCCATCCTCCAAAGCCCTGCAAACACTAGAGGAGATGTCTGTGTCCCTCTCCCTGATTTCTGCACCCTGGAGTCCCAGGCTCGCTAGTCTCCTCGAAAGCATCAGGGGCGCACCGGCCCTGGAAGCAGGTGGGGAGCAAAGGTATTTGGCCTCCCGAGAAGCCCAAAAATATTAATTTGGGGAAACTTTGAACCTTTGGAACTGAGGGTGGAAAGCCGGAATCGTCTCCAAATACTTGATCTTTGGACTTTTCTGAAATATTGGGACAGACGGCCATTCTGCCGCCGCACAATCCACAGGCGAGCCCTGGTTGGCCCACAGCCCCGCGCAGAGCTCCCGCCTGGGCATGAGTAGGCGGTGGTTTCTATAAAAGGTGCAGGAACTCGAATCCCTGAGCTCAAGCGTGAGTGCTCACCAGATCTAGAGAAAAGTTTACTAATCTTAACACAAACCACCCGCTTCGACGGTGCTTATCTTCTTGGGTGCCCGGATGGAACCGGCTCTTTTAACTCTGAGCATCCAGAATTATTTGACCTAGTCTTTTTCCTCCATTAGTGTCTTTGCACAGTGTATGGCGCATAGTATGTGCACAGCAAATATAGTGAAAACGGAAAGAGCGAGGCGGTGAATGAATGAAAAGTTGGATGGGTTTATTACCCTAAGAGTCAGACAGGAAATTCGCAGCCAAGTTGAATTGGGCCGTAGACCCGATTTAGATCCATTAGGTGGAAGAGCAGATCAATGATCAAAGATGCACCTCTTTTTATGTAATAAAAGAAATCAGTGTCCTGGTGAAAACTTTCTGGAGTCTAATGTGAGAGGAAGTACTAAGGGTTTCTCTTCAAGAGTCCACGAGCTCAAGAAGCAAAACAAGGCAATTTTCTTCAGCCCATGCTTGTATTATATTAGTGAGTGAATGGGAGGAAAAGTCAGTAAAATAATTTGCTTTCTGAATTGAGAAAATTACGTCTTTATTTCCCTG